CTGCCTGTTCACACGCATGAGCATGAACGCATGAGCAATTTTACGATAGTACATTTCCTAAAACTGCGATAGTCGTATAATTTGTATCAGCTGTTTTTTTAAACTGTCTTTTTTCGTTCTGTTAAATTCAATTTTTTCAATCTGTATTCTGTTTTAAATTTATTACTAAAATGTCTACCGACGAAGTAGAACTTGCCATTGTGCGTGTTATTGAGGAACTAATAAAATTAAAAAGGGGAAATAAACAAGTAGCTAAAGCTAATAAGAAAATGTGGGTAAAAACGTGGATACTAAAGAGGAATCAATTGGGAGTGTCTAACACACTGCTAAGAGAACTGCCACTCGAAGACCATCAAAGTTTTCTAACTTTTTGCGAATTAATGAAGATATGTTCAATATTTTATTGCAAAAGGTAATTATTGTACATTCACTCAAGTTAAGTATACCAATTTATACATGGGAGTTTATTGCTTAAATAAGTTGAGTCTAATTTGTATATTTCATACTAGGTATTTAAAAGATTTAACAACAAAATAAGTCATTATTTTACAGATCCAACCAAAAATACCAAAAAAGACACAATAATGAGAAGTGCATTACCTGCTAAGATAAAACTGGGAATTGGCATTGCGATATTTAGCAACAGGAGATTCATATAAAACATTGCAGTATATGTACAGAGTGGGAAAGTCATCTATTTGTTACTTCATGCCAGAAGTTTTCCAAGCAATTTTTCCAAGCAAATAAAGATAAGAAACAATTACTTTTATTGTACAAAATACAAAAAACAAACAAAATAACTTTTATAAATAACAAAAACTAACACTTTTTTGTTCAGTGCAGATTATACTAATACTTATACAATAAAATAACATTTTCTCTGTTCTGTCTATTAAGACTTTTAAAATTTAGACTTAATAAAAATTAATACAAACTTAAACAAATCACTTAATTTTTAATTATGTAAAGTTGTTGTAGTACACTGATATATTCTCTGATTCAGATACATCGTCATCGTATGTTTCTGGTTCATTCTCTTCAATTTGACTATAATCATAGTTTGTTTCGTTTTTAATTTTAGTATAACGTCCTGTAGAAGATGCTGCTATTTCTTCAAAACGAGCCTTTGTTAGCATACTTTGAATTTTTTCTTGTAAAAGAATTGATTTTTCTAACGGTAACTTTTCCAATTGGGCTGCGACATGCTGTCCAAAAATAAGAAATTCATTTGTTATTGACTTTTGTTCATAAACAAATTTGAGTGTATCAACGGCTTTATTCAACGATTCGTCATGAAACTTTATTTATTGTTAGGCCACTTTTTTTTGTGCGTTTTTTAGTTGTAGTTGTTTCAGTTATGTTTGCTTCGATACCTTCAACACTTTCAAGAGCTTCAGTACCTTCAATACCTTTATTCAATATCAAATTTGGGGTTTCAAGTTCTTCAACTTGAATGTTTTTGTACTATCAGAAAATGAAATTGCCTAAAATAAATAAATAATAATACCTATATTTATACTAATTATAAAAACTTAAAATATTTCATTTATATAATCAATTTTTAAGGTTCCTCTTGAAAAAGCAAAATGGAATAAAATTGTCAACGGTTTTGAAAATCTTTGGAATTTTCCGCAATGCACAGGTTTTGTTTAATCATCTTGTACGGTTATGAGTCACAGAAAATAATATCATGTTTATGTTATATGTTTACAGGTGCCATTGATGGAAAACATATTGTCATGGAATGCCCATCAAATTCAGGCTCAAATTACTATAACTATAAAGGCACTTTTAGTATAGTTTTGCTTGCATTAGTCGACCATAACTACAACTTTTCTTGCATCGATATAGGAAGTTACGGAAGCAATTCAGATGGTGGAATTTTTGCAAAATCTGCTTTGAAAAAAGCATTAGTAGAAAATAAGTTGGATATGCCACATGAAAGTGTAATTCTAGGAGATGAGGCCTTTCCTTTACAAACTTATTTGATGAAACCTTTTGCAAGAAGAAACATTTTAACAAAACGCGAAAAAATATATAATTACAGACATTGTTGTGCCAGAAGGATTGTAGAAAACGCGTTTGGAATATTTGCAAGTCGTTTCAGAATATTTAGACGAGCAGTTCCGTTGTCTCCAGATAAAACAATCAAATTAGTTAAAGCTGCCTGTGCTCTACATAACTGGATAAGAATAACTGGTAATAGTTCAAACCCTATATCAGTTGACATTGAAGATACTGAAACAGGAAGTCTTATAGAAGGTTCATGGAGAAATTATCCAAAACCTTCAGGTTTATTGGATTTAACACCTATTCAAAGGAATTATGCAACAGATGCAAAACAAAAGAGAAATTATTTAGCAGACTATTTTGTTGGAGAAGGAGCAGTTGATTGGCAAAATCGAATGATTGAATAATTAATAATATATATTTTAAAGTCTATACATATTTCTATACAACTTTAAAAACTATAACTATATAACTTAATAAAAACTTTTTTTGTATCTTCTTATATCTTAAAATATTATATTATTAAAATAAAACTTACCAAATTTGAATCAGATTCTCTCTCTCCATCGTTATTTTTGTTCAAAAAGCTGTCAGCAAATGTAAACCAACTTAATTTTGGTACGTAAACATCATGTTTACCAGACCATGTCACCATGGATGATCTTACTTTAGCTTTCTCTTGATTATATGTACATCTGAATCAAAAATATATAAATATATAATATGAACTATTTATTAACTACCTATGTTCATTGTATGTTATGTGTTTGTCTAAATATGTATCTTGGGTCAAAAAAAATAAAATGATAGTTGTAAATTCAGTGTTGAAAATACTCGAGTAAAATGATTCAAATATTTTTTAAGTAGGTACCTAGGTACTCGAATACATATTTTAAATACCTATTTAAAAGAGGATCTGTATTTGTACTTGAATAATGAGGGGTAAACACCTTGGGGGTAATATTCAGTGTAAAATGTGATGGTAATCATGGGTAATCATAGGTACAATCATTGAAATCAGTAATCTGGTGTACAAAACTTCTGTCAGGTATTTACTCCTCGTTGAATAATTTGTAAAAAGATACTTTTACAAGATTGGCATACAATATATTACTTATGTAACACATACCTGATACTCCTCATCTTTTGCCTCAGTTCTTTAACAGTTTGTAATTTAGTAAAATCAAGGAGGGCTTCTTCAGCAGCATCGCGTTTGTGTCGCAGTTTATAGTTTACATCCTTCTTAAACCATAAACGAGGATATCTTTGATATTCCTCTAGAAAACTCGGTATATCAAAATCTGCCATTTTGAAAACAATACTCAATATTACTAATTAAAATATTAATATTAATGAAAACTAAAAAATTCAATTCAAAAACGATAAGTAATATTGTACCATAACCGTTTCCCATGATAGCGTGAATGTGATAATATGCTGTTCGCACGATGAAAGTGCTATCACTATCAACTATCGTGCATGCATGATAGTGCGAGAGCTGCATTCGCAATAGTTCGATAGTCACTATCAACCTGTTCACACTATGACACTCTCATGATAGAACCTTTCACGATAGTAACTATCGCGTTTTACTATCATCGTGCGACCGCGGCTTAACTCCTTAATATTTTAGAAGGCGATTAAAAGGAGGTAGCGGAGGGCAGCAGTAACCGCTACTTCCGACCATTGGCGAGTTTTGTAGCAGAACTAACTGCAAAGGAAAGATTTGACTGAGGCAGTTTGGGCATACTCAAAACACTGTCCTGTCAACTGTGATGTGGAAAGAGAAGTATACCACCACATTAGATTTTATAGTAAGTAGTGTGAACCAAAGTTAAGAAAAGATGGATGTTATTATACCAGATATATTCGGAAAAATCAGTTATCTTGGCAGGAGAAGAAGCAAGGCTTCTCAGGTCATCAGCAAGCGAAAGCCTTGGCAAAACATTGGAACGTGGGAACTTTGTTAAATACTGGAAAGCAAGAAAATATTAAAGTTGTAATGACAAGGTTGGGAGTAGATATATTGGGTATGAGTGAAACACGATGGGAAGGAGACGGAGATTTCTTTGTCAGATGATTATCGTGTTATTTACTTTGGAGGTGAAAGAACAGGAAGAGCCGGAGTTGGAGTTATAATAAACAAGAAATGGGGTCAACAAGTTATAAATAAGATAGCGTACAATGACAGACTTATAATGGTGAAACTTAAGCTGAACCCCGCGATATCATCGTAATTCAAGTATACTTCCCAACAACTGAAGCAGAGGACAACGAGATAGAAGAAATGTACGTAGGACTCGAGGACAACTTAATAATAATAGGGGATTGGAACGCTGTTGTATGTGATCGTGCTGATGGACAAGTAGTAGGAAACTATGGATTGAGCACTAGAAACGAAAGGGGAGACCGACTTTTAGATTTATGCAAACAATATAACTTGGTCATAACCAACACATACCAAAAGATTCATCGGAGAAAAAGGTATACGTGGAAAATGCTAGGGGACATTGGACAATACCAAATCGAGTATAAATTGGTAAGAAAACGATTCAGAAATCATGTCCGGAGATGTATAACTTACCCAGGCGCTGAAATGGACAGTGACCATAACCTCTTACTGATTTAAAACAGTGTTACATATAAAAAACTGAAGAAACCTACACAAAAAGGAAAGACTATATTATGAAGTAAATATGTTGAAAAACCATAATACAGCGTTAGTCCATGAATCATGTATCATGAATCATGAATCATGCATCAGTAAGATATTCAAATCACACTCACAAAATGATTCAATAAATATAAGATGGGAAGCAATCAAAGAAACTATACATAATGCAGCCAATAAGATTCAGATACCAAAAAACCATGGATAAATGAAAAGATTCAATGAGATATTGAGGAAAGAAGAAAGTACAATAACTCCAAAGACAACCAGGGAATTAGAAAATAATAATATTAAGAACTTGAAAACAAAATAAACAGATATGCAAAAGAAGCAAGGGAGAATGATGGCTGGAAGAGGTAAAACAAAAGCTAACAGCGAAATAAGAGAAACAAACGGAAATCTACTAATAGACAATGAAGACATTGCTAATAGATGGGAACAATATCTTCAGGTTCTGTATCAGAGTGAAGAAATAACAAGTCTAAAGAACAAATGTAACCCAGATAATGAAGGCGCACCAAAGGGAAGAATTCAACCAAGTCCATAAGACTATTTATGTCTTAACAGAACTGATTCAAAATGCAGGTTCAACAATTCTTGATTAAAAAAAAGATTATACATCATTGTGTTTGTAATTCATTTATATTACTAAAGCGCAAGTTTTGGATAAAATGCTGAGTGCTAGCACAACATTTTTATTCTATACCCATCGACAATGTCGAATGAGAGAGGTCCCGACCAGCGACTATCGGCTGGAATTAAATCTAGAATTGATGACGAATTTATTGACCACTTTTTTAATTCCAAACCTGACAATTTTCGAACCGTAATTAAATTTGAATGAAGTTTGAGGGCCTCCTGCTCCAAGTCCTCCCCGACACAAATATCACACATGTTTGAGCACATCCCCTGGTTGGACCTAGGGGGATGATTTGTGAATCTAAATTATCCGGGGCGTCACCCAAACACCACATACAAAAAATTTCACACAAATCGGTACAACCGTTTAGGAGTTCAGTCTCAACACACGTACAGTAAAATTATATACGTCATACAGATTTATATTGCAGCTATTTAAGTAATTTATTTTACTAATAGTAAAACACAATGTGTTAAATTCAATTTTTCTTATAACATTGCATTATAAAACTTAATTTTATGTATAAAATAATATAATTAAAGTTATAATTCACCTCAAATAATGTTTTTGAATTATAACGAAATAATGAATATCATTAATCTTTGTTTAAACATCTAATTTCGTCCAAGTTTCAACTTAATATTACTATAAAAAAACTGTGCTCATATATTTTTTAGATTTTTTGGTAACAGTATTACCCACTCCTGAGTAATCTCATTTTGAATTTCCAATCTTAAGCTATAAAAATTGAACATTTTATAAATTTTTAACCAAAAAAAGATGTGGAAATTTTCACGGTATTGACTTATTTTGTAAACATCTGTACCAACCTACTTAAAATGCTTACAAAAAAAAATAATAATCGTAAATAATATACCTTCAAAATTGATTGATTTTTTTTTCAAAATTTCAAATATCTTTAATAGGTCAAAAATAGTCGAAAATTTTGAAAATTTTTTCATGTAGGTACCTACAGACAATTATAATATTTTATCATAATCATTTTGAGAAAATTTTATGTATATATTTATAGTTAATTTTTGAATTACAACAAAATATCGAAAATCGTTTGAGGAGAAATTATTATTAACTAACGGTTGAATATCCATAGTAAAAAATGAATTTCAAAAGACAAAATGATTCCAGTGTTAGGAATAGATAACTATTACAAATAATAGATAGTAAAAATATTGATTACAAATTGTTTTTACAGCATAATATTAGAATTAAATAATAATAAGCTCACATATTTTCAAACACGATAAAAATCAAATATTTCCAATTTGAACTAATCGAATAGAATAATATGTGTTTTCATATTTTTCGTAGTGTGTCGTACATAACGTTTCTTTGAATGGTTTGTAAACCCTACGTCCCGCAAGTCATAACACCCACGACATGTATATAACGTACATATTGAGCACACATACTGTCTGTATAATAGACAATAGTAATAGAAATGACATCGGGCATCACGCGAACACTGCTGCTGTGGGATGTCAACCTACAACCACCAATTTAAATCGTCTTACAAATTACAATAGATACATTTCATTACGATTTAAACTAGATGATTATTTTTTAAGTAATTTAAAAATGTTATCATTGCTATTATCAAATTTAGATTTAATTTGAGAAAACATCAATTAATCTCAAATTATTATACTATTATACATTTTACTACATTCATAACGAATACTATTAATTTAAAGAAACATAGTGTTTTATTTATTTTTTGACATTGCTGACTAGTAGACAAAAAGGTGCAAACACTATTGACTGTCAGAACGACGTACAGGTTTAAAAGAGCTAAGACGACTGACTCTACGGTTCCCTAGCGGCTGCCGTGTAGCTACAATATTCCGGGAGTCGCCCATACATTAGGCGTTATTTTAACTCTAAGAATGCATTTTGACATAAATATGTCCAAATTAATTCTGTATCTTTTTTCAGAAGAGTTGTTAGAGGTTTAGCAATTAAGCTAAAATTCGGTATAAAACGTCTGTAATAACCGGCTAAACCCAGAAAAGATTTGACATCTTTTTCAGTTTTTGGAGTAGGAAAATTTGATACATAATCTGTGATCTTTGGATCTGGTTTGACCCCTTTATCTGTTATAATGTGTCCCAGGTAGCAAACTTCTTTTCTTAATAACTAGCATTTTGACGGTTGTAGTTTTAGATTATATTTTTAGAATCTTTCAAAAACTTTTTTTTATTTATTTAAATGATCTTCTAATGATGTTCCGATTACGATGACGTCATCTAAGTAAACAAAAGCATTTATACCATTGAGTCCACTGAGTACTTGATTCAACAGCCTTTGAAAGGTCGCTGGGGCTCCTTTCAGTCCAAAACACATTCTTTGGAATTCGAAATGACCTTGATCCGTGCTGAAATCTGTTTTTTTTCTATCGTCTGGATTTAGTTTTATTTGGTGATAGCCACTCACCATGTCTAGGCACGTGAATTATTTTGCTTTCAAGCTGATCTTTCAATCTTTCTAGCTGATCAAGTATTTCTGTGATATTTGGCATAGGAAAAGCATCCCCAACAGTAACATTGTTGAGTTTGCGGAAATCAACAACTACTCTATATTTTTTTTACCTAAATCATCTGATTTTATGGGTACAATCAATAATGGTACATTCCAAGGGCTATCGCTTGGCGTTATGATACCGTCTCGTTGCATTTCGAAAACTTGTTTAGCTATTTCTTCTTTTTGGGCGTAAGGAAGTCTATATGGTTTTTGATGGATTGGTTGAGTTACCACAGGAGTTTTGATTTCATGTTGCACTGCATTTGTATACGTAATTTGGTCTCCTTCTAAAAAGAATATATTGAAAGTTTACTACATAAATCTAGAATCACTTCCTTTTCTTCTGTGTTCATATGGTCACATTTCAGTGAGTTCTTCAGAAGTTGGATACGTTTCCCGTATTTACACTAGTGTTATTTGTCTGTAAGTTATCCATTAGATAAAATAAAATTTCATGTGATAAATCCGAAAGTTTTTGTATTGGTATAACTTGAGTTTCCTCTGTTGGGTTCATAACATTTATTAGTACTTGATTATTTTTTACAATATTTAATATATTTCCACACAAAATATTTTTACCTATTTTCTGTGAATGGATGAGTACATTTGGTTGTTCAGAAGAATCTTGAACATCAAATTGTATTGGAATGATCATCCCATGTCGAGCTGGGATAGTAGTTGTATCATTTGTTTTGGAAGTTAATTCTCCTTTACTAACGTCAATTATGATCTGATTGTCTTTTAAGAAAGGGTTTCCTAATATTCCATCTCCGCTTATTGGAAAGGTTAAATCAACTTGGAATTCTGTTTTCCGGTAAAATCAGTAAAAAACCGCAAATTTCAGAACCGAAAACCGATAAACCACTTTTGATTATGGAATTTTGGAAGCGGTTATTGGTTATCGGTAATCGAGGTAAATATCTAAATATTAACATCAAAGCGATTACCTCGTATTTTCAATCCCTGTTAGGTTAACCTAAACCTATTCCCGGCCAAAAAATTAACGGCTTTTACGTGGAATTTAATACTTTAATAATGTCATGATTACATATAGTTGAATTTAATTTTCCAGCTATTTTTAAATTTTTTCCCCAATTAATTGCCATCGAGTATTGCTTATCTGTTATGAATATCACATATATATTTAGGTATAATTGTATAACTATATATTATAAATACTGCCATAATCATCTTCGTCGACCGTCGTCCTCGCGCGCTGATTTCTATTACGAAATATTTGGTGGAATAGGGGCTTAGTCCATTTAGTATTTACGATATTTTAATACTGTCACAATTTATATTTTATACATTGGTCAATGATATTATTTTAAAGTTGTTGTTTAAAGTGGTTAGAATAGGTTTTAGATCCTCGTTTTCAAAGTATCTTATCAGAGGATGAAAAGTATCTTACAAAAGACCATTTAGTTAAGACATGGAATATACTTCAAACTCAAGTGATTGTCCCACAATTAATGTATATAGACGAAAATAATGAATCTACTACATTAAATACTGAAACTGGATGTGATCAGATAGATGACCCCTTGAAAATTTTATATTATCACAAAGTAGGGCAAATTTATTAATTCCTACCCTAGGACAACAATCTATTAGACTTTTGCTCGAGGAATTTGATAATGTCCCTAGAATACATCATAAACGAGATATCCGACAATATTGGTTGGATAATAAAAACAATAAACCTGAATTATTTTCTTTTAGCACAAACCACCATGGCAGTACCATGTACACAGGTAGTGTTTGAAGTATGTGAAATATTTCACAAGAACGTGAAACATTGAAATTTTTTTTAACACAAATAAAAACACAATTTATTTATTTTTTTAACACAATGTTCAGTGTTCTAAATTCTAATGTCAGAATTCAGTAAGTATACAATATACAAGTATAATATTGTATACCTACTTGTGTCATTTAAACATTAAAATATTTAAAAATTTTGAATATCAATTTAAATGTATAATACCAAAGGTAGGTTACATACAGGTACCATATAGTGATGAAGGTAATTTATGACATTTATATGTAAATATAAAACTTATTTAAAAATAAAACAAACTATATTAAAATACTGAAATATTTCATTTTTTTAAATTTCATGAAATTTTCAAACACTATACACAGGTAATAAATAATTATGATTTCATCTTAGCATTTTAGTACTTTATTTGAAGAATTTACTTGAATTCAAAATTATTTATGATTCAAATAAAGTAATTTACAAACATCATGTTTTATACAAAATATTCTACTCACAAAACATTTTTTATATTTTTATACATTGATTTTGGTTTAATTTTTTTAACTAAATAAAATGTATTATTATTTATTTTTACAATTGCATAGAATATAAGTATATAATTATTATAATATACAATATTGTATGTAGGTAATGTACATTGTTTATTTATTGTTCAAATATTACATTTTGAATTTAGAATGTTTTATTTTTATAGGTAACAGTAGAAAGAACATTTTCTTGTCTAATATTTGTCTGCAGTGATTTAAGATCTTCGTTATCTTCAAGACTTTTAGAGGATATCATGATAATTAGAGGCAATCATACATTTAAAAATATATTCATATCAGATTGTTTTTTAATTTTATACTCTATAGTGTAATAATAATAGAGTAAATTATAATGAAATCAATTTAACCTTTCAACAGTTTATAGTTATTTTTATTTTTTAGTGGAGTTGACAAAATAATTTATGTTGAGTTTCATGGTTATTTTTTTATTGATCTTTGTTTCTTAGTAATATACACATTTATATACAGTGCCACAACTTACAATAGATGGGGACCTTCCAAGTTTAATTTTAAGCAATTTGTTTAAAAATGTTTAGGTTTTTATCACATTATATTTTTTTTTTTTTTTTTTTATTATTAATAAAAGCCTCGGCATCTAGGGCCATTGGCTACTACAAATTTATGGGGTTACATTGGAAGGTAGTTACTTAATATTAATGCACATGTTATTTTACAGTAGGTTGATTAAATTAGAATTGATTATAAATGATATCGTGTTCTGGATGTTGGCTGGCTGAAGGGCTTCGGCGAGAATGTATGAAACTCCTGCTTCCCGTTCTTCTCTCTCAAATTGGCGGCATTCAGATATAATATGCTTGATTGTGAGCTGGGTGCCGCAGCTTGTACACATGGGGGGGGGTCTTCCTTCCTCATCAGATGCTGGTGGGTTAGCGCTGTGTGTCCGATTCGCATTCTGTTGATTGCCGTCTCTATTTTCCTGGATGTGTTCGATGGAGAGGGCCATGTTAGGGTGGTGTGTTTGATCTCGTTTAGTTTTGTAGAACCTAGTCTCCAAGTCCGGAGCCATAAGTTGTTTGTGATTGTTTTAGATAGAGATTTAGCGTCGTGTAGAGTAAAGGCATTGAGTTTTATAGCGTCCGGGGATGTTATTGCTTGGCGAGCGTTTTCATCGGCTCTCTCGTTTCCCGTGATTTGACTATGACTGGGTATCATTATATTTTGTTTTGGATACATTTATAAATAGTTTAGTATTAAATTATAACTCCCAGAGCCAAAACCCTCCTGGTTCTGCATTTGTTATTTGTAGTGTTTGCTCCAAGGGTCGGTCTGCAGACCCAGGTTTTGGGGTACTGTAATATAATATATATTGTAATATGAATAATATAGGTATTAAATTTATAATAATAAATAAAAATTAAATATGTATAATAATATATTGTAATATAATTTATATTGTATATTATACAATATAACCAAAAAGTTCTGTGTCAATGTATCACTCTTAGTGTCATCTTGGAAAATTATTATATTTAATTTCGGTTTTTTACGGTTATAAATAAGACAATTATAACAATGACATTTTTTTATGCAATTTATTTTTTTAATTTATTAAGATCGCCATTATCTTGATAATATGTTTTGAACTTTAAAGCAGTTTGAAAAAATAAATATTTAAATTGAAGGAAATCGACCAAATTAAAGCATATTAAGTTTTTGATTCTGTAATAATAATAGTTATGTTATCAACCCACGAATGACCTAAAAAAACTGATTTAAAAAAAAATATATATAAATATTGTTTATAAAAATAAATAAATAATATAATATATTCAAGTTGTAATCATTTATAATCGCCCATCTTTTCTGAAAATAAACAATTATAGCATGTTACTTAAATAAAATACAAATGCTTAATTTAAGATACTCGTGTAATCTTCCACACTACCTTTGAGGTGTTACACATAAGTGCGTTTTTTTTATCAAGGTGGTATTGCCAGTAGCCCTAATCCACCGTATAAACAATTTTATAAATAAACAAGTCGTGATCGTCTAATGGTTATACCTAATTTTTTACTATTTAATATTCATCATTAAAATGTACTTACCGCACATAAGTGATCGACAACGTACGTCGGAAAGGAAACTGCCATGATTTATGAACGCCTCGTTATCAAAATATTGATAACCATGGGTCTAACATCATGTTGGTGCGTGGAACCAATACCATGTTTTTCGTAGGTTCAGACTTCAGATCATAGGTAACCAATGCCAAAATCAGCTGATCGAGTGTCGCTTCTATTTTGCGTCCTCCTGTTACTTATAATATGAAATAAAATTACAGATAACGATAATACTATAAAGACTCACTCGGAATATATATAGACTCACCCGGCATGCTAAAAAGACTCACCCGGCATACTGTATAGACTCACCCGGTAAAATATGAACTAACCCTTCTCAATATATATAGACTCACTCGGCATGCTATATTAGACTATAGACAAGTCTATGATGTTATTTTTTCTTGGTAGAACGAATTATAACAAAAAATATTATTTCGAATTTGCTTATGTACTTAAAATATTTTGGTGGTAATCATTTTTTGAACGTACAAAAACAGTAGATTTTACAAATATATCATAATTTTACCATCTACTTTTTGAGCATAACCCTATAAAAACTTAAATATTTTTCAGATAGAACGGAATACAACAAAAAACGGGTAAGTGGATGTCGCTCTGAAGCACAGTAGGTTACAAGTTGGTAACTGTATAATGGGTTGTTTTAAATTTGAATTCAATGATATCATATCATTGTATACGAAAATGTGAGTGCCTTTGTAATCACGAATGATGTGTAAACATCTTAGCTGTAGTACGACTTTGATTGGGGAATATAATATCATGGTTTGAGTGGGAATTTGTATAATACATATTATACGATACAAACACGGTTTCGCTCGTATAAGTAAACGAGAATAATAAATAATATTAATAATAATAATGAATCGGCCAACGACTGTACCAGAGCGCGTTCGCACCTACCAGACTCGTGAAAATAACAAAGAAAATAATAGATAAGCAACTCGCCTGGTTTATTGGTTCTGCGATTTTAGCGCTATGGCGACGACCCACACACACACACACACACCAGTGTTGTCAAAAGTCAGATAAAAGTCCGATTGTCGGATATTTTTTCATTAATAGGACATTTTTCGGAAAATTAATGAATCGGACTTTCTACGGATTTTTAATAAAATAATAAAAATTATTGTTTATTACACTTGTACTTGTCAGAAAAAAAATGTTTGCATTGTGAACATTTTTTAAAAATCCAGTAATTTTGTGTTGTTATTGTCGATGTTATGGTATAGCGCATTTTACCAAGATTATGGTTAGACTATAAATAAAACTAATATTGAGGTATGATGAGTCCATATAAATACCCAATGACCGCGACTGCCTTTGACGCTTCGTGAGATTCCCGTCCTATATCCACTATCGTGATATACACGTAACACGAATACACCACTAGCCACTTAGCCCACTCCCCAGTCACCACTGCCTGTTGTTTATGATTATGGATAAATTCGTAACAAAAAGATTGAAGTTCTCGAAGGATGTAACTGATGTAAGTATATTATAATTTGTATAATATACACAATTTACAGTAATTTATGGTCTAACGTTTGGACCTATTATTTCTACATTAATATTACATTCTAAGCAAAACTAGAAATGTATTGGTTTTAGTGTTTATTTATTTTTACTAGAATTTTTATTTTTTGGGGGTATTCTACTTGACATATTTTATTTTATTTCAGTCTAACGATATACCGAGTACCAGTACATTAGGCGACATAGCACAAAATAGTGGGAGTGAAGATGACCCCCTTGTAGTTTCAACTGAAAAAAAAAAAAAAATTAAAAGGCATATTTTGGAAAAATTTAACCCATCATGGTTGGATAATCCAATGTTTAAAGACTGGCTTCAGAAAGGGAAATTTAAAAATAGAAAAGGTCATGAATTAGCATTTTGTAAAATATGCCAATGTGAACTTTTAGCTCACAAAAGTGTTTTAAAAAAACATTTAAAAACTGAAAAACATTTAGAGCTAATGAGAGTATCTGTAAATCAGCAGAATTTACCACAATTTTTTGAAAACAAATCAGGCTTAGTAAATAATATAAAAAGAGCTGAAATTAAGTTGGTTGGTTTTTTAGCTACCAATAACTTGCCTTTCACTTTGATGGATACATTATGTCATCTATTAAAAGATATAGCTCCCGATTCGGAAATATTAAAAGACATAGCTACTAAACGTACAAAGGCGACTGAAATAATGAAATTAACAACTGGAAACACTTTAAGTTAAAACTTTCAGAAAAATTAACTACAACTGGCTCATTTTTTTCTTTGGTATTGGATGAAACCACAGACAGATCCACTACTAAACAAAGTGCTCTAACAGTCACAATTTATAATGAAGATGAAAAAGTGGTTAAAACTCATTTTTGGATATAATTGAAACTCCGTCGTGAATTGCAGACAGTTTATATATGTGTATTCAAAATTGTTTGAAAGACCATTCTATTCCACTAGACAATTTTGTAGGATTTTCTTCAAACACTACTAATGTAATGGTTGGAAAAAAACATTCAGTTTTTTCCTTATTAAAAGACCAAAATCCAGCTATTGTTTGTGTCAAATGTAGTTGCCATTCGATACATTTAGCCGCTTCTAAGGCATGTTTGAAGCTACCTAGATCTGTAGAGGATCTTTTAAGAGACTTAGGTGCTCATTTCAGCAGAAGTTTTGCAAGGAAATGTGCCCTAATTGAATTTCAGAAGTATTTTCAAACCGAAATCCATTCAATTTTAAAACCTTCCAATACTCGCTGGCTTTCATTAAAGTCATGTGTTGATCGAGTTTTGGAACAATACCCAGCATTAGAAGCCTAGGTACTTAAAGGAACTAGTATTTGAAGACCCATTCAAAACTTCTAATGAAATGCTGAAAACAATGATTAACTGTTATACTAAAATTTATTTAGAATTTTCGTCTTATATATTATCTTTATTGACAGATTTTAACATATTATTCCAATCTGAAGCTACTTTATTGTACAAACTGAAATCAGAAGTCGAACGTCTATTAACAAATATAGTAAGCAATTATATAGAGCTTAAGTATGTTAAGTTATTGACAAATATTTTTGAAGTTGATGAAACGAATCCCCATCACTTTAAAAAACAAGATAATATTTACATAGGCATGGAAGCTTCTGAAAGTATTTTATTAATTAAATTATCTACTACAACTCAAGATTTGGATATTTTTTTATAATTCTTGTCTTAACTTTTACATTGAATTGGTTAAGGATATCAAAAGTCGTTTCATATTTGTAGTTAGTGATCCACTTTTTGATATGATAAAAATTGTAGATCCAGCCCATGCACAATCATTCCAAACAAAATCATTAAAACCAATTTTTATTAGATTTCCAATTCTGAATAATATAGTAAAACAACAAGCCACCAAACAAGAATGGCGTGAACATGCTTTATTAAATCATTCCATTGAAAATTTGGACACCTCACTTTCAGTAGAAGATTATTGGAGCCGTGTTTTCAACATCAAAAATGCAGCAGGCACTAAACTTTTTAACAATTTAAAAGTAGTAATTAAGTTGTTACTTGTACTTCCCTTTTCTAATGCTTCAGTTGAAATAGTGTTCAGCACACTACATTTGTGTAAAACTACATATAGAAATAGATTGAAAACTGAAACCTTACGTGCAATTATGACTACAAAAGATGGAATAAAATCAGAAAAAGGAATTGTTGCTTTTAATCCAAGTAAAGCTATGCTAAATGAAAAACTTTGGTCTTAATTTGTATTACTACTATTGACCTAATATAAAAATTACAAATCCTGTGTTATTTTTTATATAATTTTGAGTTGACTAATATTTTGTTACATAATAATGAATTTTAAAAAAGACTATTATAATATTATATTTACATTTTTGTAGTTTTAATGTACTTGAACGTTTATAAATTATTTATTATTAAAGGAAATAATAAATATTATTTAATACACAAAATATTTAAGTTGAAAAAAGTAACGAATGATAATTGATAACATTATTTGTATTATCATTGATAATAAGTACTAGAAAAAAAAAATATAAGTAGCATCACAGAATAATATTATAATATAGGTGTTTCGGAATATAATGGACTGTATAAAATCAAAATAACACGGTTGTAGTTAAATTTCAGTTGCCGGGTTGACGGCCTACTATTTAGATTTAGAATAATACATTATGATAATTGATAATTGGGGGGGGGGGGGGGGGGTCACATTTGGTGCTGGCCAGCTGTGGGTTAAATAAAATATTATTGTTGTTTAACAATAATCTAAACAAAAACAAAGGCAGTATCTCATAATAATTAACAAAAAAAACATAAAACAGAACAAGGAACCTGCAGGCAATCCGTGATCAGGCGGTGAGGTGGTACGGTGTGGTAGGTAGTCGCTGCAACTGAAGGCGGTAACGTAGGTGTAGTTGGCGGTGGTGACGGTAATGACGGTGGTAGAACAAAAAAAAACAACCGTGTTGAGTGGTACACAATAATTAACAACAACAATAACAATCCCGCACAACAACCCCGGTCCGACCGTTACTGCGACACTCGAACTACTAGCGTGTAAAATGTCCAGCACGGCAGCACAACTGCACACGCAATCCGTGCGATAAGGTGTGGCGGGAGGATAGTAGTGGGTACGGTGTACATACCAACGGCGGAAGCAGAGATTAAAGAATAATTGAATAATTGTCATAACAATAGGTAATAATATTATTCTGTGGTAGCATACTATACTCCGGCCGGCCTAAGAACGCTACTCGGCGGCGACCAAAATTCATCAGTTCTCGCGCATTCCCACCACTGAATCCTCCAAAACGCTGGCCGCCGTCAACTCTGGCCGCCGACGCTGTCAGCGCCACCGTTACGCAGCTGTTGCAGCCCACCGACGACGCCGCCGACCCGGAAACGGTGTCGGTGACAGTGTTTGTATACAGTGCGTACCATAGTGTTTCTAATATTTTACGTTATTGAATACATACACAACATTTTTGTTTTTTTTGGACCCACTTTTTTCAAACAGTTTTCACGTGTTTTAGAACACCTTTGTTTTTATTTTCTTACATTTTATTAAAATACAACATGGACAACGAACATATTCCTGTGTCTCCTGCTAAAAAAAATCCACGAGGAAAAGTAAGTGTATTAATTGCAAAATTATTAATTTTGAAATATATATTTTTTCTTTAGCCTATTGGCACTGGTCAAAGGAAAATTGTTATAAATCTGTACAAAGATTTGGTTACAAAACAGTCTGAAAATCCAGGCAGCCCCCGATTGAGCTACAGAGAAATGATAATCGAAATATCTAAATCCTCGGGTATTGGACAACGTACTGTACAAACCACATTGTCGGAGTACAAAAATCTAGGTACTGTTTCATCGCCTTCCAAGAAAAGATTAAAACTTACAATAATTAAAAAAATCGACGAATTTGATAAAAATGCAATCAGGCAAAAAATACATCAATTTTGGAGAAACCGGGAAGTACCAACAATCAAAAAAATGTTGACAGCCATCAACGAGGATGAAACATTGCCTAATATAAAACGTACGTCATTCCAGGCAGTGTTAAAAGATTTGCAATTTGAATACCTGAAAAAAAATCGTAACAGTGCACTTCTCGAAAGAGAAGATTTAATAACTTGGCGCCGAAATTTTATAGGCAAAATAAAGCATTACAGAGCACAAAATATACCGATATATTATTTGGATGAGACGTGGGTCAACGCAGGCGAGACACACAGCAGGACATGGCTCGATACGACGGTCAAATCGTCACGTGATGCATTCCTTAAGGGCCTAACTACAGGACAAAAGGAACCCTCGGGCAAAGGTAAGCGTCTCATCGTTTTACACACCGGGTCGTCAGATGGTTTTGTCCCGGGGGGCATTTTATGTTTCAAATCCAAAACCAATTCAACAGACTACCATGACGAAATGAATGGTGATACATTCTATGAATGGTTTGTTCGTATTCTACCATTATTGAAAGCAAATGCCATAATTGTGATGGACAATGCCTCCTATCATTCGGTGAAGAAATTTAAAATTCCAAACATGTCTTGGAAAAAACAAGAAATCATAGATTGGCTTGAGAATAAAGGTGAGATCGTTACCCATCCGATATGTAAAATTGAATTAATGAGAAAAGTGAGAAAATTAAAAGATACATAAGACAAATACGTGATTGACGAATACGCAAAAGACAATAACAAAGTCGTGTTGCGATTGCCGCCATACCACTGCGAGCTTAATCCGATAGAGGTCGCGTGGTCATCTGTGAAAAGTTATGCCCCTTCACACAACAATACATTTAAGATAAAGGACCTACTTGAGCTATTAAAAAAAGGGGTGGAACATGTAACACCAGAAATGTGGACTAATTTTGTTGGGCACGTCGTAAAGGAGGAAGACAAGTTTTTGAACATAGAACATTTAAGTGATGAAATAATTGACGGAGAACCCGACGAAGGAGAACGTCATATCCTTACCATAGGAACAGCTAGGTGATACGAGTGACTCGGATTCAGACTCGGATTGATTTCTTATTAATATTTAAATTATTTGTATTTGTATTTTTATATTTATTTTTTTGTTTTTTCCTAAATGCATATTAAAATGTAAATTATGTTATGTACAACTACTTATTCTTTGTTAGAATAAATAAATAAATGCATAAATAAAATATTGATGTTAAATCCATATTATTTGTGTTGTTGTTAAATATACAATATGTACGCTTGACACCAGGTGTTATTTTTTTCATTGTGTGTTCCTTGAGCTGGTGTATACAACCACCGTTTGCTGCTCGGCGGCGGCGGCTGTGTAATTAGCCTCCGGTCGCTGCGTACTGAGTGAGGGAATTTAAGGCGGCGACTAGGTGGTAGAGTGGGAGAAATTTGGGTACGAAACCTCGGAGCTCGATCATTGGATGCGCGAGCGAGTAGCGTTCTTAGGCCGGCCTGACTATATATATCTGTGTTTGTACTTTATAGTGAAAATGATACTACTAGCGCTCGTCTCGTGGTAGCGACCAGAAGTGAAATTTGTCCTCCCACGCTCACCATCGAGTTAGATAAACAATACTTATTTATCTATTGTTGGATATTGTTTATCTATCTCGATGGCGCTCACTAATCGTAGAACAGTATCATTTTGTTAGCTGATCTAATGTTTTGAAATTTTTTGTCGGATAATTTAAAATATTTGTATGGATTATTAGTTAAATCGTTTCTGGTAACACTGACACACACACTCAAGCAGTCCCATCTACATGACTTACGCCTGAAGCTCGATTCCCCAAGAAGGTCGTACTACAAACCGATAGCATAGATGTCACATTAGGGTGGTCCTTATTTATAACGAAAAAAAAAAATATTAATATTTTTGATATCTTACCCGCCAACTTGGTTCATTACTATAAGTAAATAATTTATGTTAAGTTTGGTCATGATTACTCAACCCCTTCACGTGCCACAAAAGGGTTGAAAAATTAATAAGTATATAAGTATAAATTGCAAAATTGCATTGGAATAACCATGTTACTTTAATAGTAGAATTCATATAATATTTGGATAAATTGTAATCAGTTTTTATATTTCGTAATATGAGGCCGCCCGTCGAATCGTTGTTGTTATCTATAAATTACCTAGGTACTAACGATCATGCGTTAAATACTCTATGTGAAAATATTATTTTTGTACACTGACAATTATACTGAAATGCGATTTACTGATCGTATTTATCGTATTTACTGATTTATTGAATCGCACTCATGAAGAGATGACCAAATATTACTGTAAGTAGGTACAATACGTATTAAGTATATTTATTATTAATTATTTAATTAATTTACTGGCTTTTTATTAATTTTAATTAACGTTTAAATTTAATATACGTAATATACGGCAAAACACTGATATATGGTTAATTGGGCAGTCTTTAGAACGAATTACTGGTAGTAAGCTTCCTTCAAATGGAGATATTATGCGTAGACGGCGATGGATGGCACGTGCTATTTATGCCATAAAAATATGTATATTTAAAAATCAATTCAAAACATCTAAAAATACAATAAATTATATGAAAAGATTTTCGTTATTTATTGTTCAAATTTACGTATTTCATTGGTTTAAAGCTCCCTGTGCTATATCTGCTCCTGTAAACGATTTAAATTTACTAAAAGAACTGTCATTGTACCCAGATAAAGCTGTATCGAATGCAGGAATTACAGCTTTTTCACGTCATCAGTGGTATTTATCAGACTTGCTTGTATCTTTTTCATTTTTTGATCAAAATGTTTCATATCCAAAAAAAAAAAAAAAATGGTCACTGGAGAAATTTAAATATATAAATAACTAATTCATCATTTGAACATCCGTGTACCCAGAGAAAAATCCATGTTTTTGCAGATGTTCCTTATGTAATGAAACTTTTAAGAAATCATTTCCTTGACCAGTATGTATATTTGAAAATGATAAAACCATGTAACTAGGCTGTTATTATTTATACATATATATTTTTTTAGAGGGTTTGTATTACCAAATGGAAAATTTGTTGGAATAAATATATTTCAGGAACTTATCAATTTAAATTCAAAACATGATTTTAAATTTGCATACAAAGTCTCTGATAGACATTTGTTAGTTGAAGGACCCAGGAGATTGAATGTACGATTAGCTGTACAGCTACTATCAAATAGTGTTGCAAAGGCAATTGCCTTCTGTGGAGAACAGCAATATATAGATGATAAATATAATTGGAGAGATGTAAGGGTTATAGTTAATTTTAATTAATAATTAAACTTAAGATTTTTTAGAATTTTTTATTTAATATATTTTGATACATAATTTTGTTTGATGATAGGCTGCAGAAATGATTTCATTGATTGATCAATGGTTTGATCTATTTAATACACAGCACAAATTTGATAATGGTACAGAAAGTTATGGACTAAATTTAACAGATCAAAATGAACTGATTGATAAAATGAGTAATTTTATACTGAATATGAGAGTTCACAAGAAACAACATTTGCTCCCATTTCAAAAAGGTTTGATACTACAATATTTGCTTTATGATACAACGTATTCATCTGAATATAATATAAATCACAATTTTTTAAGGAATTTTGATAGGTATGTAATATATCTTTAAAGAATTTGTTGGTTGACTTAAAATAATTACACGGAATTTCTTATATTTTAACCCGAAAAGTGAAAAGTGATACAGTGGAAAATTTATATAACTTTTTAAAAGGTATGGCAGGAAGTGCAAGTTCAAATATAACTGCCCTAGACTTTAAACATTGGTATGTTGTATTTATATAATTTTATATTATTGAAAATATATAGAATTAACATTAATTATTTAATTTTTAATTGCTTCAGCTTAAGATGGTTTATTCTGGGGAAGCATTCGAATGTTGTGTTCACAAACAATACAAACACTGAACAGAGCATTGAAACAAACTTATTAGAAGAAAACGACTGCTTAACACGAACAATCATAACCGATTCTAATCTTGATGAAAATGACCAAACAGTTGTCAATGGTTTAAAAAAAAAAGATAAACGAAAAATACAAAAATTTACTAACTAAAAATTGAATAAAGTATATGTTATGTGTTCACACCCATGTAATCTTTAGTCTATAAAATGTTTTTTACATGTTTATCTTGTCATGGTTTTTTATTGTTTAATGAAATAATATACTTATTAGTTATTTTTTGTCAATAAAAATAATTTAAATTAAATTAAATTTGAGTTTAAATTGTGAATGATAACAAGCGTACTGATAAGGAGTAAAGTGGCAGCCATTTTATGCGTATCACAAAGTTGCTGTCATACCTGTTCATTTTGTCATGAATGGATAATGGTTGCCGGCGACCGGCATCCCACAGACCGCCCCGTCGCAATCGCCAATCGTCGTAGTACGTCGTCGCCGCCGCCGCGATGAGAGTAGTGGGAATCAGGGTTGCCAGAAACCTTCGTAGCAACATCGCCACTAGAGAGCGAAAATATCGCCCAAATCGCATGTCCATTTTTCATTCTCAAAATCGCCCAAAATACCTATACATTCTTTGTAAGAAAAAAAAATGATTTTATTGTATCTTACTTAAAAACAACAAAATTTATAGTGTTCTACTTAAATATCACATAAAGGAACATCAATAAGTTATTAACTTTCCTAATAACTAATAACAAACTTTAAAACAACAAGGTCTTTAAATAAATAACAAATGTTTGCAATAATTGCTTAACAAAATAATATTATTTTATCATACATTTGTTTAAAAGTGTTTCTTCACCTTACACTGTGCGAATACAGAAATAACTATTTATTAAACAATACAAATAATTGAATCAAACTTAATAATAGATTTAAAAAATCAATACATATATATTTGAATCCTACCTATTATGATTTATAAAATATATATCAAACATAACATAAATAAAAATTTAATATTAAATATAAAATACATATTAATTAATAGGTCACACTGGTCACAGTGTAAGAATATAACATATTAAATTATTAGTCTTTTTTTGAATGTAACATCAAATATACTTTTTTGTTAACAATTAATAATTAAGTATAATAAAGTACATAATAAATACAAAATTTCAAAAAATCTATTATGTATTAGAAATTTATCATTTCAAAAGTTGAATATAATAGTTCTTCATCAGCCTGATTCAGATTTGCTACTGTAACAGTAGGTTCATCTGAATCATAGATTTTAGAATCAAATAGTTCCAACATTTTTTTTTGATGAAGAAAAAGAATTGCAACAAATTTGTTTTACAGAATTGTGAATTTTTATTCTCAAGAGAGCCACTAACATTTCTTGACCCATTCTATTTCTTACTTTTGTTTTGGTGTCATTCATTATGCTGAACACTCGTTAAACAGTTGCATTAGAAATTGGCAATGTTAATGTTCTAATTGCAAATTCACTCAACTCTTTGAACTTCAGTTCTCCCGTGGCAGTTGATAATCCTTTTAATGTACTCCACATTCGAATTGAAGATGTTTCACTAATTTGACTAATTGACATGCCTGGGAATATTTCATTAAATGCTCCTAGTTGTCGCCATTGCATTTTTAAAACATCTTTATCAACACTGCTGTCTATAGAATAAAAAAAAAAAGTTTAAAAAATGCTTATTAAAGATAAAAATAAAACATAATTTAAACACACTAGTTAAGAAAAACTACCTGTTAAATTCAGGGGAAGTTCGCCAAATGATGATCTTTCATTTGAATTAAAACATTGATCAGGGCAGAAATATTCGATTTTTTCAATGGTAGACATATTATCTGGTAATCTGTTGCAAAGTTCATGACATAATTTTAGTAGAAAGTTGGTACATCTTTGCTTTACAGTATTTAACTGTAGTTGTTTAATATTTTTGCTTTCAATACTTAATGCGGACTGAGTTTCAAATTGCCAACAGTAATCAACACAATTATTTGAAAGATGAGCACCTGGAAATCTTAATGCATTACGCACCGCTTCAATATCTGTTAGTCTGATAATTTTTTTTTGAGTACTTTCTTTAATAATTTGACTTATGTTGTTTGGTTTCAATACATGGCGAATCAATGAAATCAGTAAATTTTTTAAGTCACAGTGAGCTTTAAATACATTGACATTTGTACCTTGGAAAATAACGTTCACTTGAGTTACTTCATGTAATATTGGCTTTAAAAAAGTAAAGTAAATTTGATTCATCTTTAACCATATCACTCAAGGTTCTTGATGTATAACATGCTTGTTCTCTGCTTTGAGACACTATGTTAAAATGAGTTTTTAATGGTAGCCACTGACCCAATACTGCCTTGACACAACCATACTACGCCAACCACCGGGTAGTAGATAGTTGAACCAGCTTGGGAGGCTTTTTTCCATCGTATAATGCTGCGAACAAAGACTGGTATGTGATTTGCCTCAATGAACTGTGTGAAAACCAGTTCCGGGATTCTCGAATCAGAAATTCCAACGTTGAAGGAAGTTCTTTGCATGCTTTGGCCGCACATAAATTTAAAGAGTAGCAAATACATTTGACTAGCACAACATTTAGAACAGATTCCTTGAGAAGAGTAAATAGCGAATGGTTTCTACCACAAAGGTTGCTAGCACCATCTGTACCAATCCCCATAAGATTTTTACTATTTAATTTTGACTGTTCAAGGAATTTTATGAATATATTCTTCAATATATCTGCGGTAGCTTTTTCAATTTCAACGAATCCTAAGAAATCTGTAACTATATCAGATTGAGTAAAGTTATAATACCGGATACAAAATGCCATATACTTATGAGTGCTTATATCAGTTGACTCGTCCAATATAATTGAATAAGCATTTTAACCAACATCTTCAACCAGTTCCGTTCAAGGGCGCCCGCAGAAATTTTCACCGGGGGGGGGGGGGGGCAAAGTTTATATTATACATATATTATACATAGCCATAACATATTATTAGGTATAGTATTTTATAGTTTCATTACAAACTTAGTAAACAAACTGATGACACCATAATATGATTAACAGTAGGTATATTTTCATCAAAATATTAGAGACATCAAGAGCACTGAAAAAAAAAAAATCTTATAAATTATTATATTATATTAACTAATTAGATTAATTAGATTATTGGTCATTAAATAAAAATTGCATGCGCCTAGGCTCCATAGCAAATAATTTTATTGTTTCATCTATAATGTTTGATTTTTGAGCTTGCACATAAGTTTTGTAAACATTCATTAATGCCAAGCCATTCAAGCGGTTCTCAGTTACAGTACTACGAAGCCATGTTTTAAGTCTTTTAAGTGAGCTAATTTAAAGCAAATATAAAACATAATTAATAATTGAAGTAGTACAAATAAAAAATATATTATAAATTGTAATACAAACCTAAAAGACCTTTCAACGCTACATGTAGTAGATGGAAGTGTAGCTGCTATTAAAATACATTTTTTTATTGAAGGTAGAAATGTGACTTCATCTAATAACTTCAGAAAATCCATATTGTCATCATTTTTTTCTTTCCACATATTGTACCATACTAGGCCTTCTTCTTCAATATTCTCAATGAATTCTCCATAAAATGATTTTAGATTCTGGAGTTGTATGATAAATTCTTCTTTTTTTGTTTGTTTTAAGTACTTAGGATGAACTGAAATGATCTCATATTTTTAATTATCCTCTGGGAACCTTTCATTTAAAGATGTGATCAGTGAATCTAAATATGGTATATAAATAGATTTTCTGTAGTAGTCTTCTGGACCTGATGAAGGGGGGTTATTCCTTAAAGTTTGTTTTGAGGATACTCTTGGAGTCATTAATGTAATACCAAGTTCATTTAAGTACATATTAATATCTTTCATTAAAATTGGAAACATTTCTTCGTTATTAGCTCTGTCATCACTGATATATTTAATAAGGTCTTTAATATGTTTATTTGCACTAAATAAATCACAATTTATTCCCTGTAAAGAATTGGTTATAGGTTCTATAGTTGCAGAGTATTTAGCAATTATCCTAAGGCACACAATAAATTGAGATGTGGTAACAGAATTTAAATGACATGTAGCTTTCAATGATGTATCTTTATTCCCATTTACTTTGAGATACTCTAGTGCTTCCACTATCAACAGGAAATTTTCATAATATTTTCTTAATGCCTTATGTGACTCCGACCACCTAGTAACACACAATTTCGTAAGACTTGGAGCAACTATTCGACGCAATGAACTTTCTTTAAAAAAGTTTATAGTTTCTTTAATAATACCAATTGTATTCCGAACACATGGAACTGAGTTCAGTTCGTTTAAAACCAAGTTTAATCTATGACTAGCACAATGGACAAAAACTGCTTTCTTATACTTGTCTCTTATTCTTTTTTGTACACCACTGACATGTCCAGCCATTGTGCTAGCACCATCATATCCTTGTCCTACCAATTTATTTAGGTCCAAACCCCATTCTTGTAAACTAGAAATAATTTTGTTTGATATACTTTCTGAGTCCAATTTTTCCAATGAAATAAACCCAACAAAGTCTTCTTTTATAACTGTTTGGTTGTTTTCATAAGTCACGTATTTTAAACATATTGATAATTGTTCTATTCCCGCTATATCCATTGTTTCGTCTGCTAATATTGAATAACATTCAGCTTCCTTGACACGTTTTAAAATCATATTACATATTACATTACCTATTATACTTATAAGTTCATTTTGTATTCTATGAGACATGTAACTTGCATTTTTAGCACTATTTTTAAAATGATCCTTCAAAATTTCATCTCCACTTTCAACCGTAAAATGTAGTAAATTATTAAATATAGCTGTGTCATCAGTTTTTCCTCTCAGTGGTATTCCATGCACACCAAGGAAAATAATAGAAGAAATTATTGAATGCAGTTTACGATTGTTTGATTCAATTACATTTTTCACTGACGAATTTAACATTTGATGTACATCTATTTTTTTACCATCCATAATAGCTATAAAATTTTTAGCACTCTGTACTGAAGATATGTGCCAAGAACATTTTGAATGTATCTTTGACTGAGCTTGGAAATGTTTGTACTTAATAAACGCTGTTTTTATGAATGCGCCTTGCACTCCACCTTTGTCAATCGGTGGTTCAAACAAAACACAAAATTTGCAAAAAGCTCCTTTAAAAATGGCTGAGTAGCAAAGCCAATCATACTGTTTAAGCCAAGCTAACAAAAAAGGTCTTTTACCAACACTAATATCTTCTTTAAAATCATAAGCACTACAAGGGTTCCATGGAGACATAAGCATTTCATATTTTAATGTATTGTCAACAGACTTACCAAGAAAAAGACCAATATCATGTTTATTATTTGCTTGCATTTGAATAATATCCTAATAAAAATTCATAAATAATAAATATAAAATATAAATACTTAATAATTATTTATTAGGAAAAAATCTTATGAGTAGGTACCTACCTGTAGTTTAGAAGGTGCTACTTCACATTTTGTGTCCAAACTTGTTAATGTTGGAGTAGATATTTGATCATCAGTTGTACTTCTGTCGTCAACATTTTTTGGTATTTTACAAACAAACTTATCCATAAATGTATTTTTTCTTTTTGGTGGATTCATCTTAATATTAATACGTTAAGGTTATAAATATTAAATAATACAAATTTGAAATTGTAATTCACATTTTACAAGCCAAATAAAATATAAAATATAAATTGAATTGATTAGTGATTACTGTCACAAGATAGTACTATCTTAAATCGTGATTACAGTCAATCAGACATTAGAATTTTAGATCATTTAGACCACGGTCGCGGTAACACGTTATCACACAGAACAATTTTATCACTAATCACTTATGGTTAATCAATTATCAATCTATTTTATTAAAATAATAAAATGCTACAAAACTTCTAAAATATTTATAAAAATATACTGTAATATTATAAAAATTAAAAACATTGGTAAAAAAAGCGGGGGGGCATGGCCCCTCTCGCCCCCCCCCCCCCTGTGGGCGCCCTTGGTTCCGTTAAGTACGCTGGTGCTATAACGTGTGTAATTAACTTTGTACACTTAGTTCGATGAAGTCGTAAAAATGACAATGGATTGTTATTAGAACCATTGATGTCTTCTTGTCTTAGTAACTCACCAAGATGATCAATGGTCCTAATAGCTGAATGTGTTGCAATAAACATACTGAGTTTCAAATCCCTTTTTTTATCAGCATCAGATTTGGCTGTAAACCCTAAAATATAAAATGGTCAATGGATATTAAACCGAGTATACATTTTATTAAGAAATTTATAATTTTTCTTACCAAACGAGACAAGAGGTAGTTGCTGTTCAACAAATTAAATTGCTAGATTTATGTGTAATCGTGTTTGCATATCTTAAGAGATCTGTTTTATGGGCTCTTAATACAGACCGACAGAGCTTGCAATACGCTTCCCTCTGGGAATGGATAAGTGGCGGGTCTAGGGATATTTACGATATTTTCGTTCCCCGACCCACCGCTTATCCATCCCCACTGTTCCGTACGCAAAATCAGTCTTAAAAGTACTTGAACATTTTTGCTTATAACTTATAAACTATCTAACCAATCTGCTAGCGAATTCCTCTGTTCCCATCTGCACAATATTTATGATCGATTGATACCTCATACGACTTTATATGTTCAGCCGTTTGCCCAGTAGAGCTTGGCAAAGAATTGACATAAATTAGAACGATTTTTCAATGTTAAAACTCGGTGTACTGTTATTATATACGTTAGTGGCTACTCCGATATTTTTTTTACTTAGTTTTACTTAGCCACTACCGTCGCGCTGGATTATATAAATTTTCGAAATAAAAAAAAATTTTCTTATCCAAAATATCATAGTATAATATGAGGTAGGTATTAGTATTAATATTTAAGGAACAAATCTGATTTTTACTTTTTAATCGAATTGTTTTTTTTTGGATTTTTTTTCACGACAACTTACTTTTTTTAAAATTATCATAATCGTATGTAGAAAATAATATGTTTATTTATAATACATGTGTACCAACTCATTAAGTGGAATTTGTTTAAAAAAAGGGCTGCATCCGAATTGCATACCAAAAAAAAAAAAAGTCCAAATTGCATGCCATCTCTTAAGGTACGGTTTCCTAGACGCAACTTGTCACCGCGACATGTCGTTAGCATAGAAAAGTAATGAAATAGAAGGGGCACTTTCAGCAATCATTTTGATGTAGCGTCAGCGCTCCCGGTGTTTGTCTACCATAACTAATACCATTATCTATACCAAGGCTATAGCCGTCATTATTATTTATTATCTATGATAGCCTATGTGATCTATACTCAACAATTATTTTGCCGCTTTTTTTTAAATGTGTTTTGCTTAAATGACATCTTCGTTTTTATATAATAATACAAATTTACAAGTCAAATAAATTCTATAAACAGTTTAATTAATAATATTTTTACAAACACAATTTATCAACATTGAATTTTAAAACAAAATGATTATAAAAATAATTAATATTTAATAATAATAATAATAATAATAATACTAACAATAATAATAATGTTATTACAGTAAAATATTGTAACAATAAATTGCATTGATTGTTTTCCTAAGTATTAAATAATAAATAGTATAAATTGTTTCAATAAAATAAATATAAGAATGATATTACGTAGGAAATTTAAAGAAATATATTTTTAGTTTTGGACATATTTTACCTACAGACCAGCAGTATCAGTACCTGCAGTATCTTACTAATAATAATAATAATAATAGGGTAGACCCAAGAAAAAATACAGAATTTTATCGCCCTTAAATCATAACAAAAATGAAGAAAATTAATGTTTATGCGATTACAATTTATTACAATTTTTAAGAATTTTTCGATTCTTCAATTTATGTTGTTTATTTTTTTTTCGGCAAGGGCAAGAGTTTGATAACCTTCAGAGCATAGCAATTTCAACTTTTCCCCTTTAAGCAGTCTATTGATATTAGCTATATATGCAAACATTAAGACTCTAAAAGATCTATTTAAAAATAAAGCATTTGTATTATGAGTTGGGCATAAATTGTTTAGTTTAATTTTAGGTTTAATTAAATTTATAAAAAGTTGTTTAATATTTGCTTTCCAAAATATTTGATCAATATTATAATTAAATTCATTTAATACCAAATTTTAAATATTGGTTGATGTTATTGACGGAGTTTGTAAATTAGATTTAATAAATTGCCTAGCTTTAATAATTTGATCATTTCTTACACTGTTAGAACTTAAAATGGCCATACAAAATTTAAGATTTGAAGTTTTTTTTTTAACTTGATTAACAATTGCACCATTATCATATGCCTGGCATACCAAGGCCAATCTTGATTTTTGAGGGAATATTTTATTTTTTGTCGAATTAAGATTATCTATTGCTATGGGATTTGGTACATCTAAAGATAATAATTGTTTTAAATTTGTTAAATTTTGACAGTCGTCTCCTTGGCAGTTCGCTCCTACAGAATGTGACGATATTAGGTTAGTGATAATTAGTGATTTAAAAGAAGTTTGGAAATGGTAGCATGTTGGGTTAATATTTCTCAAACCATGGCTACGAATTAGACAAAAAAAAATCTCTAATGGATCTTGATTGAATGATCGTAATGTAATAAACCTAAAACCTTGATTTAATAACTTTTTCATAAATATTGAAAACCTTTTATTGTTGCAATCCAGTTTTTGATGGTTGGTGGAACTTTTGTTTTAAAATTCATGGATTCTAAAACTGTCAATGATTCTTTCCAAAATGTCCAATGGGGTGATGTAGATGTTACAGCGCTTCGCAATTCTTTACCAGGCTGCATAGTAGTCGAACTTCCATTGACACTGTCAAATAATTTGTCAACAAAAAGAAGTAATTTTGCAGTATATTTGGAGTTTTCAAGCTTATCTCTTTTATCAGCTGTGTAACATAAATATTATTTAATTAACATAACATGAAAATAATAATAAAATATGTAATATAGTACATTACTAATTAGTAAAATATACTAATTAGTAACACACTATATTATAATATAATATTATAAAATACTTTACAAGTACAACTAACCTGACCATTCTGATAGCATGAGCATTATACTTCCCACTCGTTGACTAAAAAATTGACTAGCTATGGAAACCTTCATTTTTCGTATCTTGTCCGCGTATATGTGTGCATCAGTTAATTTTGGAGCCATCCTTTCACCAACATCCAGTCGACATTTGTCGATTTCATAAAAGTCGATCACGTCTTTCCACCTTGCAGTTTTTTCTTCACTTTCACTGACGTATGTTAAATCTGTTTTCATTAGGTTGTTTCGAATTCCTTTCAGTAAGTGAGGTGGGTCATACAATGGGACTATTTCTTTACCGTTGATTTCAAACCCAAATGACCTTTTTTCTGTATAATTTTTCAGATGATTTTCAACAGTCTCACGCATAAGGACATTAATAGCAGCAACATTGGTGGCAGCTTGGTCACACACAGTAGCAACAATGTTCAAACCAGTTGATTGTACTGCACAAATCACTTCTTTGAGTGCAACCACAAGGTCAGGTGTTTTTGATCCACTTTGATTAAAGTAATATGCTATAGGTTGTTTGTATTTACGTTTAACACCTCTAATCATGAACGTAAGCGCCTTGTCACCAAATTTTTGTCTACGATTATTATTTCCAAGGTCTTTAATACCAATAACCTAATCTTTGCACTCAGAATACTGAACTCCAGCAGCCAAAGAAATTTCATCGAATAATAAAATACATGTTTTATCTAAATTGTTTTTAAAACTGTTAACTGTTAATTTTAGGTGTTCTACTATTTGATTATTTATTCTAATGGAATTTTTTGTAATAAGTCGGTTAAAGTTTTTCTCGAGGGTAATGCAAACATTTTAGACATAACCCTATATGCTTTAGCACTACTTTTATATAAAGAAAGTGCAAATAGTTTATCATCTAAGGTAAATCTTCTTCCTCTAGGACTTACACTCTGTGACTTAAATTGATTTTTAAAAAACTTTTGTGTTATAACATTTAGGTTGTTCATCATTAAATTGTGTTTATTAATAAATGTATCGGCTTTTTTCAATCTTTGTTTTATATTCAAGTGCCTCTTCTTTATTACTGACAATGTGTTTTTTAAATCAACAATAGCTTGATGTAAATATTGTTTCCTGGGCGTCATATGTTTACTTCTCGTTACTTGTATATGTTTAAGATATCCCCTGGATCTTAAATTTTTTTATTAATCGTGAAATTCTCTTTGCCGTTTGTATTAAGTGACACATTTCCAATTGGATTTATTCCATCAAGATCAGAAACAACTAAAAATGT